GTTGCAATGAGGTTGATCTAAGTTGCGATAAGGTTGGACTGAGTTGCAATTTTGGGCTTCTGGGTTGCGATGAGGCTCTAAGAAGGTGCTGTGGTTTGGATTTCTGGGCTGTGATGAGACTGAACCAGATTGCGATTTCAACAAAGGTATGGCTTTGGGGAGAGCTTTTGGTTTGATTTTGGCATGGGAATGGCTTTGGGGTGCTTAAGCTAGGAAGGTCTATCACACCTAGCCTTCTTGAGGTGCGATTCTGAATCGCAAACCAGCAAGTCTTTAATTTACAAACGCCAAACAAAAAGAAAGAAACCAAGCCTGAACGACACCCAGTAAAGGTTCTAGTTATCCCTAGTGGAGTTGCCAGCTGTGAGCTTCGAGAAGCTCATGGTTGTCTCAAAAGAGTTGGAGTTGCCACCCATTTTTTAGATGAAATGGGCCCTCGTTTTTAGATTTGAAAAACTCGACTATGGTCTTTGATAGTGACTCTGTTTTCTATGGAAAAGGCACACAACCAAGAGGTTTTAGGTTCTAAGGATTGGGAGAGGGAAGGTAATAGGCACCCCTCTCTCCAAGTTGCTTTAACATCCTGATACGAGAGTTATTTAGGCTGAGTTTCTTTCGAAGCAAAATGGAAATGGTTGCAAGAATTTTTTAAATCTGGAGGAATATGTTTTCAACTTCTTTTAAGACCGATTCTGAGGTGATGTTATTTGGTATAGGTATTGATTTCCCTAAGACCCTCGCTTCTCTGCCTCTACTCTCAGTCAAGAAGAAATTGAAAACGATGGTTCTCCAATATTTCAGAACCTTAAGCAACCCAGAAAAGCTAAAGAAGACTTACCTTTCTTATGTTCCTTGATGGGAGTTTTCCAGTAGCTAGGGATGCGACAGAATGAAGTTTAGATGGGTTCTTGAGCTAGGGAGTGTTTCTGGTTGCAACAACCTCCACTTGAAGTTGGGGGAGACGAGTTTAGAATCTAATGTTCAGAGCACCTCCGGATTTTAGGTGAACGAGAGGCAACATATGGTCTGGAAGAAAACTCTCTTCTCTCTCTCATTCTCTAGGAGCCTCTCTTGGGTTTCCTTCCTCTCTCTTTCTTTTTTTTTTTTCCTTGGTCCCCCCCTCAGGTTTCTCCCTTCAGCCCCCCCGGTCTCTCCCTCAGGTCTTCTTTCCTCTCTCCTCTTCAAGCTTGAGCTGGGCCTCTATTTAGAGAGAAAATGGAGGGAGATGGGTTTGAAATTCGCTCAGCTATAGTGTCTGTGACTGAGTAGAGTTCTTTCACTAAAATAGGTAAAGATTCTTTAAAGAAATAAGTGCCCAGTTAAGCTTTCATGTTTAGTGAAACTCTTTCTTTGATTTGTGGGTGGTTTTCATGGGTTTTGTGCAGCAAATGGGAGCTTGGGGGCGTGACAGACGTTGTAGTCTCGTATTTGGGGCTGATAGTGGCAAAAAACATAAATTTGATAAACTTTTAAATGTGCTTTTGTCTTTTCTTTGCTTTAAGTGGGAGTTTGTTTGGTATTTTGAGTTTTTTTAAGCTTATTAGGCATTGTTTCATTGGTCCAGATGTTTTAATGAGTCAAGAATGGGTTTGACATCGGCCATAATCCTTTTAAGGCTTTAGGTTGGGCCAGCTGATGTGGAAATTTAATCTGGTGCATTAGAATGGCATCTTTCTAGATTAACGGTTAAATAGGTGAATTAGGATGTTAAATTTGGCATGTTGGGGTTTTTTTTGAGTCTTTGTACACAATGGTGAGGTCCGATCGGACAATTAGGGTTGAGATGATTGAGATCTATGGCTGACAAGTTTGGGTCAACGGGATTTGCTGAAATATAATCTTTGTTGGGTCAAATGGGGGGAATTTTGGGATGAAATTTGGTGGGTTTTGATCGTCCTAAATCTAATGGAAGTGTTGGATCTTTGATCAGAGGCATAGATTGATTGGTTTAGTTCAGATCATGGTCTTAGCTTATGGTTTTCCAATTAATGGGGGGGGGGGGGCAAAATGGAATCTTACTTTTTAACAGTCAAATGGAGGTGTTTGGTCTTGAAATTTGACATGGTGAGGTTTTCTGTGTCTCCGAACACAATGGTAAGGTCTGATTTGTCATGTGAAGTTGGGATGATGGATTGTACTCTCTATTTAATGAGATTTGTTGAAATAGGATCTAGGCTTGATTGGGGGTCAAATAGGTGAATTTTGAGCTACAATTTGGTGGGTAGGCATGGATTAAGGGGAGTCAAGTGGATGGTTCTGATCTAAGAAATATATGGTCAATCTTGGTAATCATTCAGGGCCATCAGAATGAAATCTTGATATTTTTGCGGTTGGTTGCCGTAGATTTGTGGTGGGATTCGTTAGTTGATTGTTTCCGAGTGAGCTTGGGGTGATAGATATGTTAGATTTGATTTTGGTGGAGTTGGAATTTGAACATCGCATAGATCGGGGTCATTAGAAAGGAAGTTGACGTGATGAACAGTGGATCTTTATAGTTTAGTCTTGGAGACTGTAGCTTTCCAAGTCTAGGGATGATGTCTGATCGGATGTTGATGTTGACTTCAAGGTTGTTATTTGTCTTGTGGATTGTGTCAGATGAGGGTATTTTGGGTTTTGAAAAGTCTCAAGTTGATCTGGTTGTGTTTCTATGTTTTTTGGGTGCAAGAGAGGGGTACAAAGAGGTAGGGTGAAGGGACTGAGCAAAAATTGGGTGCTAATAGTTGCCCCTCTTTGTTGGAGGTAACAAGCTGCCGAACAACAAAGAAAAAGAAGCACACATAGATTTTTGTAAGGGCCAAGAGTTTGGAGGAGGAGATTTCGCTGTTGGAATTTCAGTCAAGGTTGAAGTTGATGTAGTGCAAAACCTTTGCTTGGAAGGTATTGTACCATCTCAAACATTGGAAGGCAATTGCAATTGTCAAACAAACACGAGAAAAACATAGTGGTGCCATCCCAAAAATAGCTAGCATTAGTTGATATTTGATTTTTTGATGTTTGCCTACTCATGTTTTGAAGTATTTGAGTTTATTTTATTTTATTTTTATGGACTTGTTATTTGCTGGATGCTTATAGGTTGGGTTTGATTTTTTGAAGTTTGATTTTGTGATTTGATGAATGCTTATAAATTTTGATTTGAAAGATTGTTGACTTTGTTTTTTATCGATTTAGGTTTTTTGATAATTGTTGTTATGAAGTTCAAATTTGTTATTTGATAGAAGCTTTAAGGGGAAGTTTATATGGGTTTGACCTTTTTATGTTGTTACATTTGAATTGATGATTTGATGAGAGCTTATATATTTTGATTTGAAAGATTCTTGAGTTTTTGTGGATTTTTGTTTTTGGTTTGATTTTTTACAGGTATTGATTTTGAATTTTGATTTAAATTTTCATGGGTAAAACCTACTCAGGCACTCTAACCCTTCTTTCTTTACAGCCCTTCTCAGCTCGGGCCTACAGTTTATAGTTTGGCATTGCCAGATCAGAACTTGGTTCGAGTCTAATCACTAACACGAGAGAGTGAGTAGATTGCGCATCATCACTTAAGTATTCAGTTCTTGAGTTATTGTTGAAGGTGTATTTTTCTTGGCTTTTAATGCTTTCTTTTATAGCAAATGTGCTTTGATTCCACAAGGTTTTTGATACCTAGGAGGGGTCTTTTTATCAGTAGTTTTCATATTATCAGTTGTTTTTATTGTTTTTTGTTGCGACAAATGTATCTTGATTCTTAAGGTTCTTAATACCTAGGAGATGTCACTTTGCCAAGAATAAAATGGCCTGAACATGATGAAACGATGCTGCAAGGGAACTCCTTTTCATTCGATTCTTCCTCATCTTGCCTCTATTCCAATTCTGCCCTTTACAAAAACCTTTGTGTGCTTCTTTTGATCTTTCTTATTACGTAGTTTCTTTCCTCACAACAGAGGGGCAGTTGTCAGCACTCGACTTTTGCTCGGTCCATCACCTGAGCCTCTAGTTCACCCCAAACACCTGATTAGACCTTTCTGACCTCTCCAAAACACCCCAAAACCTAGAAAACCCAAGTTTCACCCTAAAAGCCTTCAGACTCATCGTTAAACCTGTCTGGTACCAATCTGATGACCCCAATCGACCCCTACTTACACCTCAACCACTAGATCTGACACAACCATCAAACCCAGGATCTCCCAAAACACCTACCCATAAAATTTTAACTCAAGATTCCCCTGTTTACCCCCTTATCAAATGAAGATTCCATTTCGACCTCAGCCATTAGCCTAAACACTCAAACCCCAGATTACCTTGATCTTGACACACCCGAACCGATCAGGCCACACCTTTAGACTTCAGACACATCAAAACACCTTCCCATGAAGTTCCAACCCTAGATTCTCTAATTTGTTCCTTCATCAAACCAAGATTCCACTCTGAAACATTCTATTGACCCAAATTCCTATGATCTTGACCCTCTAAGACCAATCTGACCGCACCAATCACATCAGGCTGCCCAAAAACCACACCCTATGAAATTTCACCTGAAACCACCTTCGTTTACCCCTTTATCGAACATAAATTCCATTCAAAGGCTTTAGATTGGCTGAATCAAGCCCTTTCCGGATCTGCCTGATCCGGTCCTATTTCGGCCAATCTGACCCCACCAATCAATTCAGAATGTCCGAAAACCCCACCTTGCCAAATGTTAGCCAAAATTAACCACATTTGCCCTCCCATGTAAAAAGATTCCATTTTGGTCAATCCTTTTAGCCCTCACACACAGAACTCCCATCTACAATCAGACCCATCTCAACCCTCCAATTTTGACCCAAAATCTTACCCATTCACCCAGAAACCCGGTCGGGCCCCTTAAACCCGGTCTGACCCTTTTTTCCAAAAAATTACAAAAATACCTCAAAGTTTCTAAAATTACCAAAAGTTACGCTTATATGATAGAAACCCTTATAAAAACAAGCCTTAAACCGATTTACCCTAAGCGAAGAAAAGGAGAGAGGGAGGGGATATTTGGCTACTGTTCATCATCGTCTCCTCAACCCCTGAACCACTAGAGACGGCGGCGGCTTCTTCTTTCCCTTTATTCCAGAATCCCTTTTCCATCCTCTGGTTCTTTCCATTGTTCTCTCTTCTCCTTTTGCTCCTTACGTTTTCCTTTTTTTTTTTTTTTTCTGTTTTCTTCTTCTCTGAAACTAAAGCCACGTGCCACTGTTCATCGTCATCTACACGAACAACGGCGGTATTCCTTAGCAACCACCTCGGTTCTTATGAGTTTGGTGAAGAGGCTATCTCCAACGCCATCATCTCCATATTGCTTCGTCTGTGTCATCTTCTTGTTCAGTTTTCTACAGCGGACTGAGGTTTCCTCTGTTCCGTGACCTTCACACGAGTTCAGCCAGTCTCAGAATTCGTCAAAGCAGGTTCGTACCAGGAGGGACTCGTCCAACCCCTCTGATCTCCATTTACAAAGTGCGTTGAGTTCACCCGTTACAGCGTCAATCCATCTCAAGCCGACATACTTCAGATCGTCCGGAGGAGGTTACGGGTCAAAGCACTGTTCAATCTCTTCTTCACGCAAACCAGCGACGGAGCAGCGAAAGAGGAATTATAGTCTTGCCTGGGCAGAACACGTGCGCAACGTCGATCTCAACTTCACCAAGTAATCTGGGTTTCTCTGAAATCCAGAAACGGACCATTCCTCCTCCCACTGAAGTTCAGCCAGTTTTCCGTCAACGTTTTGGGAATAAGCGTGATCAGGTAACTGTTCCCCAACCAGTTCTCTTAATTTTCTCGTTTATTCACTTTGTCTCCTTTTATCCATTCGTGATCGAAGGATGAGAAAGGGGAAGAGCCGATTCCCTGTAAGCTCCTGTACCCTATCTAATCCTCCTATGTTTAAATCTTAGTTATGTTTCTCTTTTCGAATCTGCTTCTACTTGTCTTACTTTTAAATCTTAGTTTTCAATCTATTCCTCTGTTCTTATAAATCTTCTCTGATGCTGTTTTCCAAACCATATTAGTGTTCTTTTTATTGAATTTGTTAAATTTGTTTCTCCGTTATCTTATTTTTGCATCTTAAGTTTTAAGTCCATTTCTCTGTTTCTCTTGGTTGCTATCATCATAAATCTTCTCTGGTGCCTTTACCTCTTTGCCTTTTTTTTTTTTTATCATTTCTGGTGATTCTTATCATAAATCTTCTCTGATGTATTTTTGTCAAACTGTGTTAATATCACCAAATTGCCGAATAGTGAGTTTACTTGGTTCTGATACATTTTATCAGGTAGTTTTTAAATCTTTGTTGCATCACACAGTATTTCATTCATGCAAAGAAACGGATGCTGAATAGAAAACTATTGTTCGTTTTATTCTCTCGTCTTAATATCGGTGGTCTTTCTGCTTCTATTTCCCTTGCTTTATTTTATTTTATCTTATTTTATTTATTTTATTGTTTTTATTTTTGTTTATTTCATTTTGATACAATATGGCCTTTTTGCCCCTTTTTCAATACCTCGGATTCGGTTAAAGGAATTGTTTTTGTCTTGTTTGTTCAGCATGTGAAGTAACTGTTAGGTTGTATGCTCTCTCTCTCTATGGTGATGATCGGCTGAGCCTCTCTTTAGGTTTATTGCCTTTAATATTATGTTTTAGGCCATTAATTAATTGCGATTATTAGTTTTTTTGGTCCGTACATATTTGTTCTCATCATCCCATGTGGGCCCCATCTTTGGACTCGGGAAAAGGATGTTTAATCCCTTCCCTCTTACCTCCGAGACTTGTTCGGACTGGTTGGACCAGTGCCTTGGGCTATAGGAGTCATTATTGAACCAAAATAATTTCGATACCATTCTTGGAGGTCCCATCACTTCTAATTCCTAAACTGATGGGTGGCGACTCCATTTCTAGCCCAGTGAAGAGGTGGCTTTAGTAGAGGTTCAAACAGAGAGCCGTGTAAGTTGAATTAATGATATTATTTTTTTTTTTAATTTTTGTGGACTCTTTTATGTAACCCAAGTACATGGTAGTAATTAACGTTTGGTGTTCATATGTAGTTGCTGGACACATGGGGCTATAGTGTGGGTGAGGAACCATTTTCTAATAGAGAGGATGATGGTCATGGGTGGGGTCGGAGGGGGCAAAAGGTATTATTAGCGTGCCATACATGTTTTGAGTTATATACAAGTTGACTTACTATTAGTGTTGAGATTTGTTAACTAGCTTCTAACTTGATTTTCAAGGATTTTGCAAATCATGCGTGGAATCTATGAAATATCAAATTCTTTGTACAGAGGCCAATGAGTATGCATCGATAAGAAAGTAGAATGAGTTACTTCATGATGAAGTTAATAGGCTCCGTAGAATGTTGAGAAATAATGGGTTGGACCTGGATGCAGTACCATTTAGTGAGGGGCTGGTAGGTTTAGCAACCTGCGTGCCAGGCGATGATGATTATGGTGTAAACTTGCCTGTTGGAGTTGCATGTGGCACCACAGGGGCAGAGCAATCTCCTAAAAGGACGAGCATTGTAGCCCCATCTTGCGAGATTGTTAATGTCTCTCCCTCCATTGCATCTACTTACAAATGCAAGTTTCCCCAAGCAAGGAGAGAGCGAAAGCAAAGCAACACAGTGGTCTTGCCCTACCTAGCTCCTAGGCAGCAAGGGTAGGTAGCGAAAGGGTTTGCCATTGCTGCAGGGTCCAAAAGAGCAGTAAAGGGGAAGGTGGAGTGATAATTGTTGTTGTATGTAGGGTTTATTTGGTTATTGTGTTTAGGGTAGAGTTGGTTAGTAGTTTGGTGACTAGTGGAGTATTTGTAGTAGTTTAGCAGTTGTGAAACGGTTCTTGAACAACTCCAAGAGAGGGCAAGTGCATATGATACTAGATTTTGTTCATTTAATTGATTTGCATTAAATTAGATTTTGTCTATATCATTATTTTTTTCTTGTGTAATGAGGTTGATTAATGGTTATGGTAGTGAACAATTGGTATGGAGCGATGGTGTTGTACTTTTGACCCCAGATTGCATGTTTCCCCTCTTTAACTTGGAAGCATGGTGTACGATGAGGCATTGGTTTGGTTTAGGGGAGGTAGAGACGGCCTAGGTCAATGGGGAAGATCGACGGTGGAGAATTGAGCTTTTGAAGTAGTGTTTTTGCAAAAGCACCGTTTCCCATCATCGGCCTTCCCCATTGGCCTGGGGTGTCTCCTTCTCATTTGGGGACGTCCAGGAGACCTTTCCCCACCCCATGGAGGTGGTACTGTCGCCCCCCTCCAGGACAACATGTTTGAAATGGCAGAATCACCTGAACGCCGCTCTAGTCGGTGTGGAGGGGTTCATTGGCCACCAAACCCACTCCCTCCTACTGCAACTCACCCATCAAGCATCCCGACACCTTCTGGTCGTTCATCTGCCCGATAGCCTAGACCAACGATGGGAAACTATGGTTTTGCAAAAGCACTGCTTCCCACTATCAGTCTTCCTTGTTGACCCGGGGCATGTTTGTCTCCTCTAGGGATGTCCGGGAGACCTCTCCCCACCCTGTGGAGGTGGTACCGCCACTCGTCTACCGCCGTGCCCCCTTAGGGATAGTGTGTTGAAAATGGCAGAATCACTCAGTCGTCGCTCCGTCGGTCTTCCCCGTGAACTTGGGCTTTTTTGCCTCCTGCGGGAACATATCTTCAATGGATTTACAAATATTTCTTAGTAAACAAAAAAATCTTTTAAGCAATTTATATTTATATATTTATATTTAAAAGTCCAACATAACTATAATAAGATGCCAAAATGGTTTGCCAATATTGAAAAGGAAAGGGGGTGGAGGGAGTCTTTTAACACAATCGTAAAAGCATTGAATCAATGTATTCACTACTTATGATAAACTATTTCCACAAGACCAGTGTGATGAGAATAATAACAAAAAGAAGAAAAACAAGTCGCCTAACTGTAGCCATCCCTTCAATAGCTAACTCATGGACTGATTTCATGGATTCAATTTGCCTTATGCAAACATCGATTGCTCTCTCCACATTCCCAAGGCGTTCCACAACACCGCCAAGACTATTTTCCAATGTAACCTCATCTGACCAATCTCGAAGAATCGCCCACTTAAAAAATTTGCAACTGCTAGTAGAATCGCTTTCAGTCGTTGGGCTATCCAACACCCACTCTTGCAATTGCAACACATGTCACTTGTTATATACATGCCTTATATCAATGCTAACAAATAATATCAACCCACTTAAAGTATTATCTTATTCTGAGTTGTTAAAATTTGAAGGATGTGTTTCTGTTTGCAATAGCATTACTTCGTACTGCAAACTACTATGTTGGCTATTCATACCTACAAATGTTCAATAACCTACGGTAACATCTATATCTAAATCAACATTAAACAATTCATTTTCATTGGCACTGAGCTAAGCAAAATTTAAATATTCATTTACAAAGGTCCTTATGACAATCAACCAAGGAAAAAAATGTAACAAAATAAATTGCTTGTGGTTGAGCAATGTCAACAAATAGGGATTTCGATCTCCGGTGTGCCGTAAATCAACAAGATTGGATGAAGGAGTTGGACGGTCAATCACTGATATTGATTCAGAATGACCGCATAAGGGTGCAACAAGCTAGGGAAGCCTTTGCACGGGTGGCCAACGAAAATGCTAAACCACTAGAGTGAGTTGGAAATAAAGGGGCCTCCAAGGCGGTTGAACGTGGTTAAACCCAACTTTGAGCGTCCTTTCAACGGTCAACGCAGGGTGCCTCCATCGGATGATGAATAGTAAACCAATGCTCGAGCTTCCTCCGAATGGTGAATGTTGAGTGTTGTCCACGACCGGTGACCGGTGAACACAAGGGGATCTGAGAATGTTTCAATGTCCGAAATGAGGAAGACCGTCGGGAGAGAATACAGTTCATTTCTCCTTTTTTGAGCACAAGGAAGAAGATGGTTGGGAGCAACAGAGATGTCATCTACTAGACAATGAATGGAGGAGCACAGGAAAGAAGACAGTCGGGAGCAACAGAGAAGTCATTGTTTTCGAGCAGTGTTCGTTTCATGGGTAAGAAGATAGGCGGGAGCAATCTATTGGATGACGAATGGATCTATTGGGCAATGAATAGATCTACTGGATGTCGAATGGAGGAGCTTGGGGAAGAAGACAATCGTCATTTTTGAACGGAGGAACAGAAAAGTCGTCTATTGAAGAAGACGATGGGGAGCAATCTACCGGATGGCAAATGAAGGAGCTTGGAGAAAAAGACAATCGCTGATTTCTTCGAAATAGAGTTCTCCTCCTAAATCGAAATGCATAGTAATAATGTTATTAGGGTAAATTTCTTAAACTACCCTTATGGTTTAGCTACTTGATTAAGTGTATCCTTACTGTTTCTAACAATTAACTAAGTGCAACCAGTCATTAAACGTGGACGAAAAAGGTCAAATATCCGTTTTACCCCTATGCGAAGTTACATTTTTATCCCTATTTTAACTTAACTCATAATCCCTTTGACACTCGCCTCATCTATCGAAAGAGAAGAGGGAGGAGCGCCATCCATCGAGGCGGTCATCGCCATCACCAACGACAGTGGTAGCTGGAAATACCAACGATGGAGATCTAGTGGAGGTCAGTGAGTTTTTTTCACCAAGAATAGATCCATGCGTGTTATCTCGTCGATGCAAGTTAAGCTGAATCCCAAGATTCCGAGGAATGCCTCCGGAACTTGTGATTACATTTCTGATATGCCCGATGAATGCTTTACCTACATTTTCCAGTCCCTTGGCTCCGATGACCGTAAAAGCAATTCTCTAGTCTATCGGCGATAGTTTTGAGTTGAAGAATAGAGTCGACACCCTCTATCGCTCAAGGCAGAATCTGATCTACGACCTCTAATTCCCTCTATTTTCTCTTGGTTTGATGCTGTAACCAAACTGGCATTGAAATGCGACTGACGATCCATGAGCATAGGCCACAAAGCTTTTGTCCAAATCTCTTTGCGTTGTTGAAACCTTACACAACTCAAACTTCATGCTTGTCATGAGTTGACAGACGCGGACATAGAGGCCTTCGCTAGTAACTGCAAGGGTTTGAAGAAGTTTTCTTGTGGCTAACGAGCTGAAGGGAGTGAAGGAAACCCTGATCCAATGCTGAAGAAATCACCAAAAAACAAGACTTTAATTCTACAAGAAACAAAAAAGAAATCACGATACGGTTCGGTGATCTGGCTTGACTTTAAGAATCTCACCAAAAAATAGTTCGGTGAAAGCTTCATCGCTGGTTCTGGTGACCACTCAATACCTGTTACCTCATTCCAAAATGATCAGAAGAAAAAAAAAAAAAAAAAAAAAAAAACGGAAAACAGAAGAAAATAACAGGGGAAAAATTAATAAGATTGAACTTATCTTATTTTGGTCTCAAATTGAATGATGGACAGGGGAGCCGAGATCTTGTAATTCCTAGCGCAATACGAACTAGACGTTTTATGCGAGAGTTTTGTCCTGTTCTTAATGGTCGCTACAAAAGGGAAGCAACGATAATACTCACCGTCGCAAGAGAGGTAAACATGGACAGCCTGATGTCATCGTTTCTTTACCTCTGTTGAAGATTGATGAATCACTGAAACCTTGGTTCAACTGGAACCCGAATCTGGTAACCAGTGTCATCGCTTAGGGATGAATGTGGCCTGATTGCCTAGCCAGGTCCCTTCATCGGTGATAGCTCTCTGTTCACCGTTAAGAAGATGATGAACAGACATGAAGATGGAGGAAGGAGAAGAAGAGGAAAAAGGAGAAAGAGAAGAAGAAGAAGAGGGGGAAGAAGAGAGATAGATCGGGGAAGGGGCTTGGTCGGAGGTGAAGATGGTCAATGCCGGTTTGTCGCTGCTATGTCAAGAGTTGAAAGAGATGATGAATAGTTTTTTCGGTTCTAATATTGGATTTTAAAAGAATTTTAAACACTATGTGGTCTGATGTGTATATGGGTTTTGACAGAATAATAACGATGCTAACGGTAAATGTAGAATTAATCAATTGTCAAAAACAATAAGAGTGGCATTAATCAATTTTCAAATAGTAAGGATAAATTTAATTAATTAGCTAAACCATAAGAATAGTTTAAAAAATTTACTCATATTATTACTGTTTCGCTACATGATGGGGAGGAGCTGAAAAAATTAGGATAATAGCAGCAACATTTTACTTTTAATATCAATAAAAAATACTATTTTTATATAATAACAGAGTATTTTTGGGAAAATATCAAATAAAGGTAATGTTACTGTTCATCGTCTTCCTTACAGTTTACAAATCTGTGCTTCAAAAGCAGACAACGTGGTACGCCCGTACTTGTTTATGCGGGAATTGCGACGAATCCAATCAGGAAAACGGTTTACGCCGGTACTTCCTCCAACGTCGGTAGTTTTGCTGGGTTCAATTTCCAACCAAAAAAATACTATAAAAAAAGAAAAGAAAAAGAGGCCTTTCCCCGGAAAAAGGATCATCCCCCACCGCCGGCGATGATGTTGGTTACAGCAGTCATGGTACCGGCGTTGTCATCCTCGGTATGATATGAACAGCAATATCTTGCAATGCCGGTGGTGGATCCACAACCCACAATTGCGGTGGCCTGGCAACGACATCCACCACTGCAATTCCACCACCATGTGAGCGAATAGCACAAACCTTACCGCTGCCGGCTGCAATTTGCACTACTCCTTTGAGATGGGCTGACTGAATGAGCTCCTCCCAACAATCCCCGTAAGAATTGTATCTCCTGAAATTTGCACTACTCCTTTGAGATGGGCTGACTGAATGAGCTCCTCCCAGCAATCCCCGTAAGAATTGTATCTCCTGAGCACTCCTTTGGTCTCATCAACCACGTATAGCACATCCTCGTCTGTATTCTGGGTTTCTTCTTCCGGTGTGCAAGATAGGGTGAGTTTCTTCTTCAAGTGCGGCAGATAGATAGCCTCGATGAATGGGTATTTCTATTTCAACGTTAACGGAAGCTGAGATGTGCAGTTCATTAGAGCTGGATACAGAGGAGGAATGCCTTTTCTGCCCCCTCCTGCGCCGTCGAAGCGGGTGAATACGGAGGCAGAGGAGGAAGACGAGCGACTGTTATCCCATTTATTGATATTAAGGGCAAAAAGTTGCCCTTATCGGCTAGAATTTCATATTTTTTCGGCTGGAGTCGACGGATGTTTCGTATTCCGTACCAGACTATTTGATATTTCAAATTATGAGGGGAGCTGACCGAAGAAACCCAAAAATAAATCCAACAGCCATATTAAAGGGGGAAGGAGAGAGATAGAGAGAGGACGGTGGATTTTTAGGTACCATTTTGTCTTGGTTGGGGTGGGGAGAGTGATGGAGAGAAGGGGGCAGTGTAGGATGGGGAAGGAAAGATTCTGAATTCTCTGTTAGCATGTCGCTCTTTCAGTTTCAGTTCGTATTTTAAAAGAAAGATTGAAAGATCCAATCATCCTTATGACAAACAAACACCAAGCACAATACAGTATTGTTATCTAATTAATTTCCTCAACTGAATAACTAAAAATGAAGTCCCCCAGCTCACTGGACCGGGCTGGTCACTTACTTCTTCATGGAGTACATGGACTCCACCCTCCCATCGTTCCCTCCTAACATCATGTATTTATCCTTCCTAGTGAGTCCAGTACACTCGAACCCCAGGGTGCCACCCAAAATCTTCTGAACGTGATTGGCTACCTCGATTGCCGGTTTGCCACCACCTTTACATGTCATCTCCTCAGGCAGACGGTTTAGGAACTTGACTTCGTAGACGGGCCTCGGGTTCATGAAGAAGTAATAGGCGTCCCAGAACTTGACTCCCCTCACCGTGGTGCCGTGGAACATATTTTGCTTGGTGTTGATGGCCACCGGCACAATTCGGTCGCTCAGCTCCGCAAACAACGCGCTGAATCGCAGCAAGAAGGGTTCGCGACATGTGGTTCCTTCGGGGCATATGACCAGATCACCCTTTTGGAGGAGGGCCGAAATGCGGGCAGCATCAGCTTCACGGTCGCGGGTCAGAGCCACGGCAGGGATGGGCGACTGGAGCCTAGAGATCTTGCTGACACTGTAGGTGACGCATGAGACCTTGCGGCCGAGGGCGATGGCGATGACAATGGGGTCGAGCGGGGTGCGGTGGTTGCAGACGAAGAGGGAGCCTGGAGAGCCCTTGCTGGGCGGGGGAGGGATATTGCCGCTGATGACGAGCTTGATGCCGAGGAGACCGTAGGTGTAGCGAACGATGCGCTCGGGCAGTGGAATGTTCAAGTAGACGCGGATGAGGCAGAGGAGGAAGCCGAATGGGAGCCAGAGGAAGGTGAGCAGGGAGTTGAGCGGCGTGGGCCGTTGGACGAGGCGACCGTCGTGGAAGATGATGGGGCTCTTGAGACCATTCTGTGGCACAAGACTGGCTTTAGGGTCACGGGGCACCATGTATCCCTCCTGTGTATGTACGTACACTTACATAATCAATAAATCGCGTAGCTATAGATGACTCATCAAACAAACAATTATAAGCATTAATCCATGTATTCACTTTGATTTAAATAATACACAGTTGAAACTTGAAACATCTTTCATTACTTGTTTGTCTATAATACAATGTTAATGTTAAATTACTTGTCCATCACCTGGCTGATCTCATCCACTTGTTAAAAATAAGTGGGTTTTTGCAGGAAATTTCCACAAGAAAATTAAGGGGTTTTATATTTTCTAATTGGGTCAACTAAGGAGATTCCCTACACCACCAGGAATATTTCTGTATATAGAGAGATGACGTGGTCAAGCCAAGCTGCATGTGCACCAAGTAGGATCCTCTGCCCATACAGCCTTCTAATCCACATCAGCATCAGCACGTACTCTTTCCCTTATTAGTAGTGTCTTCCACAAAGCACACGTAATTTTGGCAGTTTAATATTAAATTTGGGATTAGCAAACATTATTATTGGTGGTTAAAAAAGCTATATCTAGGGCTGTAATTTGGCCGACAGGTTGTCTTGGGTGGGATTGAAGTTTTTGAGAAACCTGATTCAAGTTATCCACCCCCAAGTCCCCAATCCATCTTTGTCTTCATAAGTGTATATATGTATTGTATAATAATATATGTATAGTATAAATTGTGTATAGTATTATATAATTATATCGAATTTCAAGGTCATTTAAACCTTGTACAAGTGATATATGTACGTATCTTTCTTTTCAAATGCCACTTTCGGTTATGGATGTACAAAGATTTTGATCTTTAATAAATAGTTAAATTTTTTTTTGATAAAAAAAAGACTAAATACCAAAAGCTGTTAGGGCCTTTTAATACCCATCCTAATATATCTCTTCATGAATTTATCCACCTGAGAAAAATAAAGAAAATAGAGTATCAATTGTTAAAAAGTCTGGAACTGGATACACAATTTTTACTTTGGACCATATATGTATATGTATCACTATTTTTAAGTTTAAAATTGAAGATTTTTTCAATATAACATGACCAAAGTAGTTTTTTTTTATTAACATGAGTTAAGTAATTTTAAAGCATCATAACTTTGTCTCACCACTCAACCTTATTTGATATTTCTAATTCCTACGTCTGAGAAGTGAGCTTTTTTTTAATAAGAAAAAAAAAACAAAATTATGAAGAAATTGGACTAAGCTAATTCCAATAACTCAGAATAGGGTTGACCCGAGCTAATCAAACTCAACTTCCATATTTTCTAATTTGCCCTCTTTAATCAGAGTAATAACTCAACAAAAAATAAAAAGGAAAAAAAGATCGGAATAATATGTAAGGCCATTTGGGACCCTAAATTACAACGCGGAAGATCCTTTGGACGTCTAGGATTTCTTCTCTGATGGGGTCCCGTCTCGCAGATCGAGAATAATTAAACCACCCCTGACACAAAAACAGATAACAGATGGGTGGGAGTTGACACATGTCTGATTCCGGTGGTCATGTAGGCCTCTGGACTCAGGAAACCAGGGTTCTGTTTGGTATCGTTGCCTTTTCAGTTTAAACGTTTTAGATTAATCAATGCAAATTGGCAAACAACTGTTTCTTGGAGACTGTTCATCACATATCTTTCGTCAATTTGAATGGATCAACCCAAAACGTTTCTTGTAAAAACAGCAATGGTGCCAAACAAAATCAAGGATTCTCGGCTTATTCTGTGTGAGGAAAATAAATTTTGAGGAAAGCTCAATTTACCTTGCAAAGTTCCATGAAATCGAAATCGGACGGGCGATCTCCGATGCCTAAATCGGGCATTTGCTCGCCAAATTCCTTCAAAATGGCGTTTCTCTTCGAATGCCCCACTAATACCCCTGGCTTCTTGACAAAACCCGTGGCTCTCCCCGTCTTCGGGTTAACCTCGATCTCCGTCCCCAACACCTTGTCACCGCCCAGAAAATCCTTCACGAACGGCTCCACCATCACCGTCGGGCTCGCCGTCACTATGATCTTCCTCTTGCACCTTCTGAACACGTTCCAGCTATCTGATCTCACGTTAGCGGCGTAGAATCTCGGCAGCACAGCTTGGGAAGCGAGCTCGATGTCTCGAATCTTCAAACCCGAAAATGATATGAAGATGAGAAGCTGAATGGCGAGAGACTCTGACACAAATAGGTAGGCGACGGCGATGAGGGGAAAGGCGAGCAGGAGAGCGAGACCACGTAGGAAGCTGCCGGCTTCAACGGCTATGAGCATGTAGTATGGGAAGGCGCTAGAGGAGACGAGGAGAGTGCCATCGAGGTCGGCGGCGATCGTTTGTTCCTCTCGGCCGGAAACGTTGCAGAGTGAGATCGGCGGGAAGTGACGAGGCCGAGAAGACATGTTTCAGACCGACTCAAGAGTGAATTGAATATGTCAGTACATGGGTGGGAGGGAAATTGTTGTAGTAGTTGCAGGGGTCAGAGACGTTATAAATGGTTGAGCTTTGTTTAAAATTACAAGATTACCCCTCCGCTATTTCTATCATTATTACATTCATGCCATCTTGTCACGGGGGCAGTTTTACGGTTGGAAAAACCCATGCGGCATCCGGGCCAAGGCAGGCTAGGACAAGTCTTTGTGTGCTTGGAGGCTAGGAATTGCCCAATGAGATGATTCCACCAAGGTCAGTAGCACTGGATCATGAACTTAAGTCATATGGTCGGGGCTTTTGGCTGGTTTTTGTTGGTCCATGGGAGACATCTCTTACGTGCTAAAGGGGGACGACCATGATAAGAGGCGCCTGGGCGCCGATGAGAGGTGTCGGGGCATTAATGTAATGGGTCTCTTGTATGCCGATGATGTGGGCACCTATGTGCCAATGATAATAGGCAACCGCTTGGGCCGGAACACACCCGTGCGCTATGGACAACGGGATAGATCATTCAGCTTGGGCAAGAGGTTGGCGTGGTGAAGGGTCGTGCTTGACCCAGACCCAAATGCCAAGCCTCCCTTGAGTGTCGACAGTGCAGTGCCGGTCCATGCACTGTCCCCATGAGCATGTGTGCACCCATGAGGAACCCTAGTAGCGATGCTAGCCATTAACCAGGGCCGCCCCGCAAGGGATGATGGTCTAAGAGTGCCAAGGTTAGGCACCCAAGGAGGTCGACTACCCCTCCTCAAAGAGTACGTTAAGCTTTTAGAGGTTTGCCTGAAGATGACATCAATTCTCCTAAAAATCTTATAGGCAAAAAATGACGGTGATGTCCCTTAACGTAAGCCCACCAAGCGTAGACAAAGCTAAGCCTGTGTCAGGTCGTGACAATCATGCATGAGCCCAAAGACTCGTACTCGGTTACTCACTACTCACACTATAAGTGTAAAACGGTCGTGCAGGCCGCGTATGACGGTCTGCGGGCCATGCTAGATTTGGGGTTTTAGGTCCACAGGCCGGGCTGACATGATACGATGGAGCGGGCCGTGCTATTCGTGGCCCACGTACCGGTATATATATTATATAATAATATATAGTATATAATATATTAATAAAATAAATATTTTTTTTAATTTTATTATACTAATTTATTTAATTATTGTATATATAAAAAATTTTATAGCTTTAACCCGATGCTTGCCCCAACCTGGCCCAAAACTCGATTCACGGGCCTGGGCTATGGACTGTGCCGGGCCGACCCCCAAGTTATCTCCGGGGGGGGGGGGGGGGGGGGCAGCACGGCCCGAGACGGCCCACGCAAAGTTTTACATCTCTACTCGCACACGAGAATTGCATCATTCTATTCTTTTTTTGGGGTTTGGACTCCTCTTAGTGGCCCAAAGGGCTGTACATAGTTAAACCCACGGCCCATTAATTGGTCTACTGGTTAGCAATAAACGTTAGTCTATTAATGTGGTAATTGTTGTACACAGTGAGGAAGGGAATAATTAGAAGTAGGGGCTGAAATTGGAAAAATCACAATAAAATTTAAAATAATTGGAATCGTGCTGAATGTAGAAAATTTTTCATGGCCAATACTTGGTTGAAAGTAATATTTAGATTTTAATTGCTGTTTTGACATGAAACGTTGTGATTGGTGAGAGATATCTATTGCTATATCACATATGATGTGATAGTCACTTCAACTATAAAGCAAGAAGCGTTAATTTGATGTTTGTTACGAACAATCTATCACGCTTATAGTCTATTTCAATTGTAAACAGCCTCGAATAATGGTTACATGTCAATTTGTATTCATCAACCCTAAATGTTTCACGTAAAAGATCCATCAAGGTTCAAAATATTGGCACTATGTCATTGCATACATGTATATATACCACATCATACATCTAAAAAGTATGAAATGCAAATATAAAGTTTTGCAGTGTACATATTTGACATTTCCGTGACCTTTAAATGCTGATATGATATAATAGGATACGTATCGGGTGCATTACTTATTCCAGTGATTGTGGCAAACGGATTTCCTGTGAGGTCGGCCTCATGGTAATTAGTAATTACCGCTCAATCAATTCGTGCAAGTGAGGGAGCACGTTAAGTGCTGCAAGAATAGGGAACTGGCGGAGTAGTTGGAAGATTTGAAGTTTTTTGGTTGGTTGGTTGAAGACTTCACTAGGGTTTTAAATACTTACACTATTCTCTCTCTCTCTCATTTCATCCATCAATTAAGATTGAAGAATAACAAGGGTCAATCATCCTCCGCCACCTAATTTTGATGCCCGTTTATTAATGGTAGTTGGTCGATGAGAATCAGATGAGGTTGAAGAATTTGTCTCTAAGTTTGACTCTGAGATGAAAATAGTCAAATTTTGATGAAATGGTTGAGACCCTATTCTGTTTATTGCAAATTTAACACATCTATGGTATTTGGTTTCACTGACATTTATTACTTCATGATAAAGAAAACAGTGTAGTATAAGTACGTCATTTTCTCATAAAATATTAAAAAGGGTATTTTCCTTGAATCACACCTTTCTTGATTTTTAAACAATGGATTTTAGGCATTTTTCAAATATGAATTTCAGATGTGGCAATAATGAGGGTGTTTAATTTCGTTTATGTTTATGGGTGGTAATTTATTTGTGTTTTTTCACTTTAAATGTTTTATTTTTTTGTTGTTTGGTTGGGTTTCACTTTAAATGTTTTTTATTCTCCACCTTAGATTAATACCCATTAAAGAGATCACATCTTCGCCCCACAACGCTCCACAGAACATCCCTGCTGTGTATTGGGAACATCTCCCGATGGTGCCATCATCGAGACTGGTAACTGTGGGCAGCCCCTTGTGGGGAGGAGATGTAAACTCCCCATTAAAGTGTAACACCTCAACATTTGATTTCAAGAAACGCTAGGACATTGGGGGAAACAAGAATTTGGCATTTTCCCAAATACCCATACACAAAATTCAAAGTGTTTCAGTTTTTATCAAACAGTTATTTCATTTTGCTTCATATACAATAAATACCAAGACCTATATGGTGCTGATGTGGTGGTATTTTTTCAATAAATGCCAATGGAACCAAATACATACAATACAGTGCCGTTTTTCAAAAAATCATATTGATGCCAAACCCTAAAATTTTGTTTTGTTAAACTGTTTATGAAGAATATGTTTTTCTTGGGATGCATAAGGGCCCATCCATCCATTGTCAAAAAATGCTAACAACGAACATTTATTAACAACTTCTTGTTTTTGAAAAAGAACAAGCGCAGTATAAAACATTTATTAGATTAACGGCAAGGAAACTCCACTTTAATGAACACTGTTGGTCGGCCCACGGGTTAGAAACTTTGGCCCAGTCCGAGTAGGCATAGGCACATAGCCAGCTGTCTTGGGATAAATTTCTTCCTTTTTCCTTTTTCCTGTACACCTCCCATTAATGTGTAAGAAAGAAAACAGTGGGCACGTGCAAAGGGAGAAATAGGGAGGTGAGATTGAATGAATGGTGTCTGTTTCTCTTACTTGGTTGCAGATAAGAGAGGAGTACGCCTTCGCTGCATGCGCTGGATCCTGGAAAGCATTCATCCAACACACGATATAGAGTAAATGCGATATAACTTCGACCCCACACACACAATGACACAAATGACAAAACCATTTTTCTTTTATGATGTAACCCCACTTGCCCTATTCTCTTTGTCGGTTTTGGGCTGGCATTCAGTATTGGCTTTTGGCCCAACCCAGCCCATTTCAGTCAGTTTGACAACTAAAATGGGGCCAAGTTGGCATTTGGGTTGGGCAGTTGGGCCGAGTTCTTCTTTCTCATCTTGGGATGGATTTCACCTAAAACCCAAGCCTGACAAGACAACCCACGCAATTCTATTTGTGCGTGCAATTTGCATCATTGCATGCTTCACACTTGGTTTTATCTCGGAGTTGTGTGTAGGTTGCGTCAGCTCTACCACTAGACTTCTAGCTGGGTTTGGCTGCATTTAGGAGCCCATATTTTCTGTAAACTAATGGATGTGAATCTCCAATGCGATTCCAATATTTAAGCATAGTTTCGTCTGAATCTGTTGATCTTCTCTATCTCTTCGATAAGAGTAAAGAACTAAAGATTGAAAAACGTGAGAGAGTGTTAGTTATCACTTAGTACGAATCTCATGGTTTAAAAGAAGGCGATGATCGATTAATTGTATTGCAATTGAAGAAGTTGAGTGGATTGATGATAGGGGTGGATTCGAGGCGAGTCAAGCCGAATATTTGGGTATTCGAGCTCAATTCGGCATAATATTATAAGGTTCAAGTTCGATTCGAACTGAAAATGCAAGTTTGAATTCGGCTCGAATGAAAAAATTATATATTCGAGCTTGATTCGGCTCGAGCTCGATAATGATTCGAGCCTTTTTGAGCTTGAGCTCGAGTTTTAATGAATCTGTGGCATCTGTTTAAGAAAAAAATAAGCTCGATTTGGTTCAGATTCTATTTAAGAAAAACAAAATAAGACTGCTGCAACCCTGTATGTTTGTAACTTACCCAAAATAGGAAATTTCAGACAAAAAAAGAAGAAAACTAGATATTATAATGACTAGGGATAAAGTGCGTGAGACCTGAGACGGTGAGAGGCTGGACTGCGAGAGGCTGCAGCCTGCAGCTGAGACCTGCGCCCTGCAAGCTTCAGTTGAGAGCTGAGAGGAGAGGAGAGCTTGAGAGGATAGGAGAGACGAGAGGCGGAGCTGTAGTGGTGGTGACCGGTAAGAGGCTGAGGCTGGACTGCCTGAGAGCTTGAAAGTTGAGAGGAGACTCGGAGAAGAGAGACGAGAGAACAGAGAGGAGAGGAGAGACAAGAGGCGGAGCTGTGGTGGTGGTGAGTCTGGTGACTTGTGAGAGGCTGAAGCTTGAGAGTTTGACCGCCTGAGAGCTTGAGAGTTGTTGAGAGGAGACTCGGAGTCGGAGAAGAGAGACGAGAGAGCAGAGAGGACAGAGATGAGAAGAGTGAA